CCGTTGTCTAGCCCAGAAATATATTCTTAGTATTACTCTTGCGAAATTAGTGTCAGCCTTAAAAATGAACCTTTTCCAAAATGTCTGCGAAGAAACTGATCCAACTTTGTCGAACAGTTGAAAAGGAACATGTATTTTGATTTTAGAGGTGAAGCTTACACACAAAGAGAAGCCCGATGCGATTTTGGTAATGTGTTACAGAGTGGGCTTTCTGCACTCTCTATTCCACTGTCTTTTGTTATTGTTGCTGAAATGATATTTTTTGTGTAACCTCTTCTGGGAATTCTTTTGAAGAAGCCACTTGTAAATCACTCACTGCCTCTGTCTCAACTTCGACTGCACTTCCAAAATCAAGGTTAAAAAAGTAGGAAACGCATGCTGTTCAAAGTGCCTTCGCAGGAAACGTTTGCAGCACAAAATGATCTGTTTTCAGATGCTGACCCTTGTTCAGCAGCGTATCTACCTGCTCCCCGACATGTATGTATTAAAACCCCTCACAAGTTATGTCTTGCATGCACCCACTTGTAAATATTCACACTTTTATGATTCGGAGGGGAGAGAAAAGAGGGTCATTTAGAAACTAGAGTGGAACCTACGCGTACCGACGCCGAGAAATTTGGAAGAGTCAAGCAACGGAAACATTTCAACGACACCAGAGATAAAAACAGTTTGTTAAAAACCAGATGTTTCATTTTGTAACTATTACATTCTAAAGAAAATAGGGGGCAGGGGGAAAGACATCCTAGGGCAATCTGAGAGAGGGCAATTTGGTTTAGAGTTAACACCAGTGTGCCTTTCTGCTCCGATGCAGATACCGGGGTGTAGATGCCCTCCTTCGCCTGATGCAAATCCCATCTATGATACTCTCCGTAATGAGAGTACGAAAAGTTCAGGGAACAAAACCAGGCCATTTATAAAGCTTAAGGAAAATGTCTTGAAATAAGCGGGGGCACCAGCTACCGACACTGCACTTTGGCCTTTCGGACGGGACCTGTTCATAGTCGGCGGCAGAGAAAAGGACCAGGCGGAAAGAGGAGAGCGCTGGAAAGCCAACTGCAGCAACGCGACCGACTGTATCA